GCTCCGCCGCGGACGCAACGGTGGCCGCCGCAGCGACGGCGACGCACATGGCGAGGGCGAACGTGAGCGCTGTCCCGCAGGCGGTGCGGCGCGACGTTGAATTTGCGCGGGCACACATGCTTTTTTTCTTAGGCTCCTCCTGCTCTCTGCTTAATTGGCTACGTCCCAGTTAGCGGGTTTATTGTTTCCTACAACGTGTCGTTGTTCCTGGTGGGAGACAGCGGCGGATGGAGAGGGGGAGCAGTGCGTACACGCAATACATTCAGTTGTGTGAGGGAGAGGGCGAGCAAGAACAACCAATACACGGGGCAACCCCCCCCCCCCCACCCCCCTTCNCCCCCCCCCCATCCGCCTTCCTTTTTTAATCCCACCACCTGAGAGGTGGCCACAACTGCACAAGTGCGCACACACGCTGTCTTTTTGGTTTTTCTTTTTTTCGTCCCTTCGCCCTCACCGCCAGACTGCTGCCGTTGTGAACTTCCTCTCGGAACTCGTGATAGCCTTGCCGCTCCTCCCCGCACGGTACGCGGCGTCAATGATGGGCAGCAGGTCATCCGCCTCCATGAAGAAGTTGATCTTGTTGTTGTTGCCGGTGCCAACATCAACGCGGATGTGTGTGTTGCGGTAGAAGAACATCACCGCGAACGGCTCTCGGTTGTGGCCCAGTTCGTACATGCCGTTGAACTCCGGCACCTCCGTCGTCGACACGGCGTAGACGGTGCAGTACTTCCGCACCTTTGGCGCGAGCGCGAGGAGCACCTCGTCCATCTGCCGTGTGGCGATGTAGTACGCCGTCAGCCCACTGCTGCTGCCACCACTGCTGCTGTTGTTGTTGTTGCTAATCTTCATCTTGCTGTTGTGGAGCTCATCCTCGGGTGGCGGCGATTCGTAGTGGCTGAAGCGGATCAGCACGAGCTTCTCGCCCTCGAGAACGATGTGGCGGTCGACGTCCCACGCGGAGTGCAGGTGCTGCAGCTCCGCCATATACGTCTGTCCCTTGCGTGAGTAGTAGTAGTGGTGGTGGTGGGGAGAGGCGCAGGACGCGTGAGTACAACGAACAACAGTGCGGGCGTGGGAGGTGCGGCACCGTGCGCCTCTCGCCGCTTCGCTTTGCACTCCCAGTTCGCGCCAGTCGCTCGTGAATGATACGACACACACACACACACACACA